GAGTGGTGCAGTCACATAAGGGTGTGGTAATGTAGCCGTGGTGTGTCACACGTGATGCCTCGTCCACGGAATATTTGCGTTATCTTTTTTAATTTGGGAATTTGTCGGGGGTCTCTAGACGCGCGTCCTGACACGTTCGCATCACGTTTGACCTATATGAAAGGTCGAAAATTTGTAGTAATTAGGGGGTAGGGTCGGGTGAAGCCCATGGGCATTGTATGAAATCATGTAATACCACCAACATTTTAAATATAAATCGAGATAGACTTCTCTTAGCAAAAATTGAAAGGAAATTTTATTTTCACACCACGTAGATGACTGTGTACTATTTTCATCCCCCATCCAATTTATATATCGGGTAACGGACTTGTTTGTACGAGTTTCAATTATGTCAATGTGCATGGAAATGTCAATACGGCGGTACCGCGCTCTCTTTGCTCAACTTCCGCTGCATCCCGCTTTATTAAAACTTAATTATGCCTTTTTATGGGACGTCTGCGAGCGGCGAAGTGCCTCGATGCTCTCCTTGCTCGATTTTAACGTAAGAAAAACACCGACCCAATTAGATTCGTCTACGGGGAACCGCCGCAACATCCGCGAGGTCAAGATCGGTTTTTGAAGGAAACCGAGTTTAGTTGTGCCTTAATTGGAGTTATTCCACGTAGACTTGAGTTTAGTTATAGCGCGGAATGAAGTCAAACATTGAAAATGTTCCAAAATGTCATTTAGTAATAATCAAAGTAAAGTTTGTTTTGAAAATTTCACATAAAATGTTTTTGAACGCATTTTGGTTTGTCAGCAAGTAATAACTAGATTTGTGGCTTCTTTAGAGCTGTATATATGATGCAAAAGCGTAACAATGGCAACATTTACTCTTCAAGATTGCATCTGTAGGGATGCATGTTGGTAGGCCACTACAAGATAACGGTGACGTCCTGGAAGTTCTATTAATTCTATAGAAGCTCATCTTTCATTCGTTAACATTAACCTTTAATTTGTTATGACGTTCATATTCTTTGCAATAACAATTATCAAAGGGCTTTATTTTTGTAAGATTTTGATATTTGATCAGCATAAATTAATTTACCGTAATTTATTTCCTCAGTTAAGTCGTTTATGAAAATCAAAAATAGGAGTGGTTCAAGATTTGATCCCTGAGGCACACCTGGCAAAGAGACGAATGGTGGTGATTTGAAACTCCTGATTTCAACAAACTGTTGACGGTCAATCATGTATGAGGGGTACAGAGAAAGTAATGGATCTGTGGTCCCAAATCATTCCAGCTTATGTAACAGTATAAAGCATGTCAATTTAGTCAAAGACTTTCTAGAAATCGGTATAACATTTTTAAATAAAAGAAATAAAATGGAAACAGATCAGGTTTTCAAATGTTAATGGCAACAAAATTGTTGTGAAAATAGTCCAGGAAACGATTTTTATGAAAATTTGGAATTAAGTTTACTTCACCCTGTAGATGGAAAGTTATATATGCTTGATATGCGCTTCTTATTTTTAGGGGATGAAAGCCACCCCTTATGTTACAAAACGTTATTTTTATAAAGTTTCAACCCTTAAAACCCGCCCTTAATGATAAAAATATAAAATTAATAGTTTCTTTGTCCTTAAAATATTTTTATAGAGCATATATTATAGATATAAACCTCTTCAATCGTTTATGGTATTATAAATCATTTGTTGCAATATTTCAACACTTAAAAAACTACCCCTAATAACAAAATATTAAAAAAATAGTTTTTAACAGTTTAAAATGATTTGATAGTACATACGGGATAAATTAAATTCTTTCACCTGTTTATAATACAATTTATAATTTATCGCATTGTTTTAACCCTTAAAAACCACCCCCAATGACAAAATATAAAAAAATGGATTTAAATTATTTAAAATGAATTATAATTTTTTTTTTCGTAATAACTTTCTTTCTCGCGATTTATTTTAATTTATGCAATATTCACAATAATTATTTCTTCTCTCTCTCAAATCATAATTTCGAATTTTCAAATATATTATTTTATTAACCAAAATATTGATATGCTCCACAAAAATTGAAGCGGTAAGGTTTTACGGAAAATTTCGGCAGCTAAAAGTACTGTAAATTTGAATATTTTTTAACTCGTTATTTTTGAGATTTTTGAGGTTAAAGGATTTGAAAAACTGACCTTCGCCCTCAACTGCAAACCTCTTACCAACTTATAAAAATATAGAATATATAGAAATAAAAAAGAAACTAAAATATTCTGTGAAAAAAAATCTAAACTTTTGTACTCTTGAATATATTTCGTATCTTTTTTATTTTAGAATGTTATTAAAAAATATGCATTCTAAACCTTTAAACTTGTATAATATATTGTTAGCACATAAAAAATGTAAATTGTAGAAGGATTACTTTTAATTTTAAATCTCGTGAAAAATTCATCAGTTTTTGTACCGATTTTTTTTCCGAAAAAGCGAATTAACAGTTTTATTTCGATCATAATTCTGTTAATTTTTATGCTAATGACTTAAGAGTCAAGTTCATTTTAAAGATTTTTTAAAGTACTTTAAAAAATGTACGGTGCATTTTTCTTGAGAAATAGAATTTTTTTAGTTATTTTACGTTAAACGTTTCTGGCGGACATGAAATTATCTTCAAACAGCCGTATCTCAGCACCTATTGCACCCACATAAATGAAAAAAAAACGTATTATTTCTTTTTCTATAAGCTTAATTTTCTTCGCTGTTTTTTTTGATAGAATGTCTATTTTCCGAGTTATTTGACAAAAATTACTAAAAACGTCTTTTTGTTAATAAAAATTTTCAATCACCAATAACTCAGAAAATATTGACTTATCGAAAAATGTTCATAAGATACTTTTTGCTTAAAACTGATTGCTTTGTCGATTCCTGGGGTTATTTTCAATATTTTATTTTTCACCCCCTAGAAGGGGTGGCTTCCACCCCTTGGGTAAAAGCGCTCATCGACACTATATAACTTTTGTTTCTTGAGCTATTTTCTATTTACAGTCCAAAGAATTCGGAGGGGAAACCCTTGGTTCTCTGCACTAAAGGAATTGTTCGGGACTGTGCAATTCCTAACGAGATCGCCATTTTTTTAAAGCCGGCGGTAGCCCGGGGCTTTCCACGAGAAAGAGCGACTTGATGGACGGCAAAATTTCACGTATCGCCGGCTGATCTGAATGGATAGGGCGGCGGCATCGGCAAAAGAGCAATTAAATCGGACGCGGCTATGATTCACGGCTCGCACGGTTCGACCGAACCAGACCAGAAAATTTCAATCGCACGGAAAGAACCGAAACATCGGTGAATTATCGCCCGCGCCGTTTGTCCGTCGATTACAGCGGCAATATGCAAATCAGCCCGTCTCCATGGTTTATTGTCTACATACGATCTTACTCACTTGCGTATAATGGATAGAAATTGGGTTAAATACGGAGCAGAATGTCGGCGTTTCCTGTATAAATTGGTGTAGTTTGCGGAGACACCGCGAAATATTGCTGGGAATGTTCGCGTGGCGGTTCCAGGGGTTGATAAATTGGGGCATGTAGAGGATTGTTTAGCGGAAAAAATTACCTCCCTGATACAACGGAACCCCTCCTGGAGTGTTACATAAATTTAAACAATGTAAGGTGCGCAAATGAATTTAAAAAACGAGAAAACTTCGCGTGTCCACACGCGATTAACTCGCGACGTTTATTGCGAGAGTTTCTTCATTCAGACGACATCGTGGAATTTATCATTTACTATTTCATCGACTATGTAGCTTCTTTACCGACATAAGAATTGTTCCTAATGACCGTAGGGCGTACAGAACTTCATTCAAAGCTTAATTGAGTGAAATAAATAGAAATTAATGTCGGAAATTGGAAATCAATGTTTTATATCTTTTATATTGCTGTCAGGCATCATCAGTCTTAGCAGACGATGCTACCGATCGCTGACCCATCATCCACAGGAGTGGCTTGAGATGGGCATTTTTCGAGAAGGTCAAAGTCTCATATTCAACGCGACACCACTGCAAAACTCTTGCGGATCCAGCCTGGAGCGTGTTCAATCGTCAGCCCGGGTACCCTGCAGCTTTTTAACCAGGGCCAGTGCACTAGTAGACTCAAACGTTTGCTTTTGTATTGTATACAGATGTTAGTACTGCTTTAATTTGTTGTAAGTTAGCTAAAAATTTCAATAAATCTCTTTCAAAATCCATACCAGGCGGTCTAAGGAGATCTCACTACAAGATCTTAAAGCTTGCAAATCAGGTAGGCTCATGAGGCGTCGTAAAAGACAGTGACAAAAAATATTAAACTCGTCAGTAGGTTCAGTCGAAAGCCTCACACGAAAACACAAAAAAATTAATAGCATTTTGAAGTGTGTAAGTGCGTTTTAGATATCGCTTTTAACTTACCTTATTATTGCTATTTTCTGTCAATACTGACGTCTGCTGCTGAAGGAAAACTGCTAATTTTTTATTATAACATTTTGCTATTTCCATCTATTTTCTTCCAAAGGTACAAGAACACAATAATTTCTGCTCATTTTGAAATTATTATTATTATTGTTGTTGTTGTTGTCGTTGTTGTCGTCGTTGTTGTTGTTTTTGTTGTTGTTGTTGTTGTCGTTGTTGTTGTTGTTTTTGTTATTGTTGTTGTTTTTGTTTTTGTTGTTGTTGTTGTCGTTGTTGTTGTTGTTGTTGTTGTTGTTATTGTCGTTGTTGTCGTTGTCGTTGTTGTTATTGTTATTGTTATTATTATTATTATTATCATTTAAGTTTATTTTTTCCAGGTACTTACTTCAAGATGTCCTTTTGTGGTTGAATCAGTTGCTCAAAGGAAAAGTGGGATTCCAGTGACAGACTTCAAGGTAAGTATTTTTTTATATTTTTCATATAATATTTATTATATATTTATATTGTACCAATATTACATTGAGCGCCAAAAAATAGTCGAGGGAAGGGAATATTTAAAAAAAATAACCAACCACAGTGCTGAACGTAACGACTTTATTTTATTATCACAGTTAACATTGTCTTCAACAAAAAAATGGACATTGAACATCTGTTTCATTATATCTTTTTCTACAGTTTGTTAAATATTTGTTAATACATTTAAACCATAAAATGGAGAAGCTACATAAAAGACCTGCAAGTTTGTTGCTGCAACAACCTCTCGACATTGCCTCAGAATAACTTTGCTTACTCGGACTTAAGTCTGGGAAGTCTGCCGGCCAGTGTAAGTAAATACCTAACAGTATTACCATCGCTGGTCTAGGTACAAAGGACGCCCGGTATATTACCTTGGAGCGGCGTCGCTGCTTCCCTCATAGAAGTGGGGGCTATTGGAGATAAGGGCTTATAGGGTTAATCCGTGAACGACATGCCATTATTTGTAATCTACCCTTTACTAAGCTCTTTCATTACTGCCGAGCCTATGCAAGCATTAGAGCAATTAGCTGGTTTATATAAATAGGGCCATTTTGAATTTAAAATAGGTAACAGGACACTATCTGCGATCTAAGCCTGTGTTAAGACAGGGCTTGCTTTATTTTTTAATTATTCATCCCATCCTCTGGCCCGTCAAGCGCTTTCGCAACAAAAAATATACATGGTGTCAATGAAATAATTATTTCAAAGACATTTTGACACAATGCCGAGAAGCTGTTCCTTTTTATAACTGTTCATTGATCGATTAAATAAAAAATTTGCACATTAGACAGATCGAGATGTTTAGAAACAAAATGGTGCGTACAGTTTTACAAAAAAAATACATACAGTATTAAATATTTGTAAGGCTGGGTTTTTTATGCACGCTCGCGATTATTCGCCTAGTGTAAACGCACCTTTACGTCGCTTGTTGAAATTAGTTAATATAGCTTTGATTGTCTAAAGCTGTGAGCTGGTTTTAATTGACATTTGGCGGGTAACTTTATCTAGCTTCTCCAGACTGACATTTTATACAAAATTATCGTTAACAGTTACGTGAGTATCTGGTACAAAATTTATTATTTATAAATCTATATAAAAATCATTAAGACGTACTAAATACAGTAATCAATTCGAAATGGGGTTGCCAAATATCAGATCCATTATTTTCGCAAGACCCATCCGCTAAGCTTTTTACAGTATGATAAAAAACAGGTTAATGCACTATTAGGCTCACTAAATAAACATATATTTATTCATTTACAACATAAAATATTAATCGGGTGATAAATAATTTAGGTCTGTTCTCATTCCTTGGTCTCAGTCAGCGGGAACATAATTTTTATTGTAACGGAACAGGTAGAAAGATCTGTCATTAGTGCCATGGGATATGGAAAAACGAATCAGTCGAATAACTCTAGTTACCGGTTGACCAAATTTGTTCGCGAATATTCTCCTATCTTTGACAAATCACAGTTTGAAGGATATTTTCGTTTATCTTTCGAATTTTGTCTTGAAAAACTATGTTGAATTGCTTTCGATGTAATTTTTGTGAATCATAACCTTTGACCTTATCTAATATGTAATTGTTTGACCTTTGATTATTGACATATTCTCAAAATTTAGTTGAAATGTAACACGACAGTAATATAAATCATACTACTAGAAATTTATTAAAATATCCATCTAAGAGTAAGAAATATGATTTGCTCCCAACTCTCGCAATTTCATTTTCGTTTCCTTGATGTCTGATTTTTTTCTCTGTAGATTTTGTGTCGTTCTACAACTTCTGGACAATATTTTCCTTGGTATGTCTACATATTTCTTAAAATTGTTCGCCTTTTGTAAATCTAACAACATTGAAACAAAGTACTGGGACACGACCAGAATGTTCACTAACGGATATTGGACTTGGCATGGCATGCCGTTCGCATTACCAACAGTCGCTTTGCAGTTTGAGGAGTCATTAGAAAATTCCGGTACAGCGTTTAAGAAGAGAAGCAATTCCACACATGCGGTCACATTAACCCGCAAACAGATCAAAGAAGGCGCAACTTTGCTCTCTGTGCAAGCATCCAACACGGGCGAATCTGCAGTGCTTTTATGTTTGTCTATAAAGCAGGAACACGGAAAGTGGGAATTACTACAGTGAACAGAGCCCAAAAAAATGCTAGAGGATATTTCAGTTTGAATTGACGACGCCAACTCTTCTAACAACGCATATTTCTATCAGTTTATTATCAAATTCTTCCACAGATTATGTAAAACAGAACAATTACCAGTCTTTTCGTTGCCTGTACCGTAAAAATCGTTTTGAATTTTGTATGAAGCCGGGAAAGGCGTATCGACTTTAGCCATTGTTACTTGACAGGACAAAGCATTAGGTTTGCTTTATTTCGCAAACTTGGAGGAAATGGAAAAGTTTCGGAATTACTTATTGAAAGAATGGCTGGAGTCCGTCGAGAGTTATAGTTATTATTACTATGCCCCCATATTGTGCGAGTTTTGCGACCTATATCGATAAGAAATGATAATTAGACAAGTTAGTGGCAAAATACCAATTTCTTGAGGTATGAGGTTCTTATCCTACCGTTTGGCCTATGAAATGTCCCGTGTGTATCAGATTTTATACAATTACACCTAATTTTATCAGTACTTCAGCAGAAACTGTTCAAACTTGAGCAAAAGTGGAAATAAACTTTGGTGTAATATACCTTTATTGAATATCGATCTTGAGAAATTTATTCATCTAGATTTAATGAAGATGTAGCATCGCCGAGCTCGGTATGTGTGTCAAACAAGTTTCTCCCGTTGCTATTTTGTTCAGCGAATTTCAGGAGCCTCCCGGGTACAAACGCCCCGATTGTTGGGCCAGCCGACTTCGATTCCCGCTCATATTTTAGAATTATTGCGACCCATTGTAAAAGTATGCTCATAAAACCGGGAGCATCGTGTCGAATAGCCCAGGGAAATATTTTATCTGGATTCCTTTTTATAGCGAGATATCATAAAACTTTGTTTTTATGTGTTGCTGCCACGACAATTTTCGGCATATTTGCAAACAAGGGGTGCATTCTAGTGTGCACTGAAATGGCGTGTTTCCAATAAAGTGATACAGACCGAGCTCGAGCATCAGTGGCCCTGTCCTGGAAAAGGTTATTTCTCGAATATCAAATATGGCGGGTCGTAGAAATGTTGAATTGTAACATTTTCGATGTTTGCTTTATTGTTCCCAACATAGTTACAAATTTCGTAAACGGAGGATATAATATCATATAGTAGTAAGCCACATTTTTTGTAATTCTGTTGTCTTCAGTCCAGTAGATAGTTTAACATAATGCAGACAACTACATAAAACAAACTGAAGAGAGTACGAAGTAGAGAATAAAGGTTTGTAAGAAAATGAAAATTGAGAGCACACAAAATGATGAAGTAATAGAAGAAGAGGTAGAGAACAGAAACAGAGGGAAAAAACAAGAAGTATAAGAATGAATTACTGGAAGACAGTACCTATCTGAACTGAAATCCTGCTCTTACACCCACTATACCAGTTGCTGAATGAAAAAAATGTATTTTTTAGGTTTCTATCCAGTCTCTTTGTTGTATTACACACCGTTCTAACATTCGTGGAAAATTTTTTCAACAAGTCAGAATCTGTGTCGCATCGGCGATAGGATTTTATCCGGATTTTAATACCGTCAGTTTTTGTATCTTTTATATGCTGCGTACATGGTATTTCCAGCATTTCATCAACACTAAATCACAAATAATGAACTCTGCCGTTTTTAAACTATGGAACGTGGAACGATGAAACCAATAAATGTGAACCCATTTAAGCGACATTTGCAATTTGGTTCACAATGAATTGGTGGAACGAGAGCAATCAGTTTATTTAGCATTTAATGTAATCAGATGAAATAGCCCTGCATCGGCCATTGCGGAAAATCGCCTCATTTGCTAATAGGGAATTATCAATATTGATAAAATAAAATCATATATCAACTCCGACTAACTATTCGGCATACAGTATGTCTGCATTTGTTCGAAAAAATTTTCCCTGAAACTCCCATAAAAAAAATTAATCAATTGGTGTCGGGTCTGGGTATCGAGGGGGTCAATCAAAGTGCGTATGTACAGTTGTTTTCTCATGTAGAGCAGTAATTTCAGTCACCCTGTACTTAAAAAAGTAAGAGTGATCAAATGTCACAAAATATAAACATTTAAAGGACAGACATAGCAGAAAACGCGCTTGACAGACACGCCGGAGCAGAAAATTCGCAACAGGAAACGTTTTTAATATATTTCAGTTTTCCATTAAAAGTTAAATCCCCGTTGACTGAGCCTCACAGAGGAAGTAAATTTAACACTTGTTTGTTTTAGAGTGTCACTTTCCGGACGCGTATTTCTCGATCAAGCTACCTTTGACGTTTGGGAAAACAAATAAGTAAACGTCTTTAATCTCTTAATTTAATAGTAACTTTATACATTCTTTTTACAAATATAAAAATTTGATACGGCGCTCTAAATCGGGCAAACCCTAACTCAATACAAGCGCAACGTAACTTACTAGAACTAGTTGAAGTACGGTCTGCGAGAGGGCGCTACTTGCCGAGTCGAAGGCGCTCACTGAAATGCGAGAAAAGCAAATTTAATAATCAGATAACAACTAGAATACGTGGAATATCATATTCTGGGAAAAATTTGGTGGTGCCAAATCTGGCTATTTAGGTGGCCACATAATGGAATATTCCACGTTTTCGAGTAAATTTTGGCTAATTCTGGAACTTTCCGGCTTACTCTCTCTCACCTCTTTCTGGCCGGGGTTCTCTGGCACTGCTCAGCCGCAGCACCGCCTCCTCGTGGTAGATGTCGTCAATCTCGGCGATACACCGCAGTATCAGCTTGCCCCCGTTGAAATGGTACTCCGACAGCACCATCTTCAAGGAGAGGTCGCTCCACGCCGACTCCTGGTACTGGCGGGGGGTCAGGGGCTCTGTCCTGGCCACCTATAACAATTATCATGCTTTATATACCACAGTTGGATGACCAATCAAAATATTTTGCTTCACAGTGATCGCCATAGATAACGCGCCTTACCCGTAGTATACGGATAGAAAAATTAGCGATTTCTTCATGGAGAAAAGTAGGAATCATGGAACGTTTGATACAACTTTTAAATTAGAAGATGTCCTTCTGTTGTTTTAACATTTGTACATTTTAGTATATTGGTACCGAGTCATGAAATAAGTAAACGAAATCTGCAGTCTCGTCTATACAATTTACATTATTTCATTGTCGCAACTCCTATATACGAACAAACCAATCCTTGATATCTACTGATTAAATAAGATCTAAGATGCACTCTGTATAATTGGGTCGGATACTACAGCAACTTTAGATAATATCCTTTTGAATTTAACTTCCTCGCAAACTGGGTACAAGTTTCAATATAAACTTTTCAGGATTAACTGGGAAATTGAAAACTTTTTGCTGGAGCATTTGTTTTACTGCTGCCAATATTGACTTGCAATTATGAGACAGTTTGGGACGTTTGGACGTCGAGCGATGTACAGGGTGATATATTATTTCAAAGCCAAAGCCTAAAAGATCTTGAGAGGAAAAGTAACAGTACATTTTAATTCACAATTTTTATTAATGTATGCTATGTTGCCGGTGTTAGATATATTTCCTAAAACTTAACTATTTATGCAAAGAAGGAACTAAGAATTTTGTTAAAAACGATATACTCGGATGCCGTTCCTCTCGCAATTATCGCTCGGATATTTCCAGACAGATCCGACGAAAGGATGGGGCTGAACTGCGACCCTCTCCCGGGAGCTCCCGGATTATTATTGTCCGTTAATTATAGCTGCCTGTCGTTCCCGGCAAATCCATTTTTCTTATTATTAATAATGAAATACCCTGCTAATTAGACAGCTCGAACGCCGAGTGCCGCTTTCACTACTCCCGAAGAACAAAACAAACAAAAAATGCCGAGCAAGTCGATCCTTTGTGCATATTTTATTAATTTACTTATTTAATATCGCTCGGCAAGGGGGTTTTGTTAATTAAATAATAATAATAAAAAAATCTGAAGCGCCCGCTTTTCATATTCCAGTTAAAATATTTAGATGGCGCCCAACAAGGTACGGCTCTGGTAATGATACTATAATGTATTAATAATGTATCTCAGTATACAGGGTGATTCACAAATGGTGACCAAAAATAACCAATCAACGACCAAGCACAAAATATTTTCAAATCATCGCATAACTCTCAAATATATGGCACCTCGACTATAAACATTTTTGTCAGTGTACCTACTGTGAGATTATTCAGGACAAACTTGAGTGACGCCCGCGGGCGGGCTGGGGGAGAGCTGCAATTGGCCTTGAGGGTGTCTCCATAGTCCAGGGGGTCTCTGCCAACGCTGATTTCTGGGGGGAAATCCGGCAACTCTGCAAAAAAATATTACGTTATTTACTTCATATCTTACAGTGTTGTGGAATATATAGGTTGCTGAATAATAATATACCGTCCCCTCTCCCGCACAAATATTTGACATCTTTGTATGAAGCGTTTTTATTATTCTTTCCAAAACGAATATAATTTCTCATTTATTAATTTTAACAAAATTGGAGTCAATAAAGTAATATCCGTCCAATTATAGTTTTATTATGTATATGAGCTTCGAATTTGTTATCAATGACAGTCATCCTTGATGCGAAGTTAATAATCCCTATTTAATTACGTCTGATGTGCATATTATAGCAATATATATGTCGGTGGTATTGATGTTAAAATTGTTAAATTGAAAATTAATATCAGCACGACAGCAGATTTGCAATAACCTTTGGAGGGTTCAAAAAAAGTAATACGTATTTTAAATTACCGGTAATGTAATGTGGTTTTCCGTAAACACAGTACAATCAATGCGATATTTGTTGAGATATAATTCCAAGTAGACCCCTGCGTCACTCTCTGGGAATTAACCGCATTGGACACCTGAGTCAAAAGATATTGGCGGCGTGGCGTTCACCGTAGCAGCTTGCGGTGCATACTGTGTTTTGCAGTTACGAAGGTGTGTGCCAACAGACGATAAAAATAGTGTAGATCCAGACAGCGTAAACCAAAAATATTGAAAAAACTAAATCTGTTTACAATAACAGTCTTAGACTTCTTTTTCGGTCTGTCGACAATTTGTAGCCGCGATTTTTGCTCTTCTCTGCCGACACATGTTTTGTTGAGCTTAATGAAAAAAGCATTGAAAAAAAAGCGTATGTCGAAAGTAAGTAATACTGTTGTGAATTAATTAAAATACCACCTAGGGGCAATTTTCCAGCTACCGAAGCTGTAAAGAGAAAAATAAACAAGGCGGGTGAACTGTATAAGCACGAAGGCAAATATTTGAACACTAATGCATTGAAATTTTTCTGCAGTCAACGCTCGTTTGCGTTGAAATTTATTAAATTCAGTCGGCGATTGCAGTTTTCCATTTAATAATCAGATAATTAAATTTTCAGATATATAAATCAATTCGGTATACGTTTACACTAGCTGATTAGAAATATATTAATAAATGTACTTCTTGAATAAAAAATTCTGTAAAAAGTCTTTCATTTGACTTATTTCAATAAGGTTTCAATTAAATTCCAAAATAGTTCCATTTGAAATGCAATAAGAGTTAAAACTGGTTTTAATTCTAGTTACTAAGTTCTAATGAATACTGATTGGATTCCACTTCAATTCCAATAGAGTTTCAATAGACTGCAATAACTGTACTGATGAAACAAAATTCCAATAAAATTTCAGTTGGATTTCAGAGCCATATTATATTAAAATAAAGTATTACTTGAGCTAGGTTTCGATTGGATATTATGACAATTCCAATTCAATTTCAATTAGGTTGATATTGAATTCAAATTAAATTAAATTTCAATAGAAACCTGTCTAAAATTGGACTAATAATAGAATTCCAACGAAATTTAAATTAGATGATAACATTTCAATTACTTGTAGTTACATTGTGAAATAAAATTGTACACCATTTGATATTCCAAAAACGAATTTCAGTGTCTAAATTCTATTGTTGTTCCAATAAATTTCTTTCAATTTCCAATTGAAGCAATTCTACAAAAGCCTAAATTGTTAATAAAATCTTTGGTTAGTGCAATTCCAATAAGATTTTAATTAACTTCCAATAAGATTTCAATCAAATTCTATTCGGAATCCAATAGGAGCCATATCAGATTCCAATAACGTACTAGCTAAATTCCAATTCTAGTCAAATTTCAATTGAATATCAATAATTCGATCTTAAGTTTCTAGTTTCAACTGATAAGATTCCACATGAATTCCAATTGAATTAAAATAAAACTCCAACTTAGGATCAATTTCGATTGTTCTGTTTTAAGAGAATATGATAGACCATTTAAAATCAGTTTCTTAGCAGTCGGCTTGGTGGTGTTCAATTTCCCTGAACAACATTTTAAATTCTAGTCAAAATTCCAATTCTAATTAAATTCCTATATATCCAGACAATTTACGTAAATTCCAGTTAAATTCTAATTGAATTCAATAAAAACTAGTTTTAAATTCAAATAACTGAATTAATTAGATTAAAATTCCATCTTGACTCCATTGACACTAATCTTATGGTTATGTTTTGAACTGAAACCATTGGACCATTTAAAATCTACCGAAGTTTTTCGCTCCAATCAGATTCTGCGGCGCCGTCCATTACTCAATTTCTCCGGAAAAGTTCCGCCGTTCTACGCGCGACAATTTCTCAGCCACCTAGTGTTTATGACAAAATAAGCCCCGAGGAATTTTTTACAGGAGGTGGAGTGTCGGCTCGTACAAGAAAAACAATCTCGAGCCTCTTCCGCACCGAATGTTTTCGTCGCTCGGCGTTTTCTTTTGGACGTCGTCTGGCCCAACTAACGATATATTGATTTATGACCTGCCTTTGATGTGTCCAATCATTTAATTCAACTAATATAAACTTGTTAAGTCTCTAAGTATGATTAATGATGGGGGAAATATGTAACTAATGTCAACTAATTCGAGATTGATTTATCTCGAAGAATGTCTGTTTCGGTTAAGGGCCCTCGACCCTTCGGCCCTTCCGATGTTTTTCTGTTTATTCCTCGTAGGGACGGTGTGTACCTAAGCACTCAAAAATTTGCTGGGGACCGGCTTTTTGCCGTAATGGGAGTTTAACGCGAAACGTACAAAAACGGCAATTTGTCCGAGGGCCTGTTTGTTTTGTCTTGGCCTGTCGATTTTTGTGTGGGAAAAAGCTTCAACATCGATAATCTTCGATTAAGCTATAACAATTTTGTATTGAACATAAAGTTTATTTTAGACTAGAGTCGACGTTCGATCGCAGCTCTTGATAACTCCGCTAACCCTCGAGGTGGATCTTCGCTGGTGATCTTTCTGTAATGTTCATATCCTATATGCAGTGGCGTACTTAGGATTCTAATTCAAAGGCTAGCTGGAACTGTGTAAAATGTAAGATTCTTTTACAGAACAAGTTTTTTATATACATCGGCTTGGATATTTTTCTTGATACTGTGAATTTTGGGAAAAAATGTAATCGTAACAGCAAGAACAAATAGGACCGTCTGGTCTGGTTGGCAGAAACTTCTGCTTGATGGAATACAACAAATTAATTATTTAGGGATCGCAAAAAAGAGCTATTTCTCTTTGTAAAGCTTTTAGATGTACTAATTGCACAAAGTAGCCCTAACGTAAAATGTTGGAACTTTGGCAAAAAGATCGTTAATTTCGTCAGAGTAAAAAGTTACAAGAAAATTAGTTTAGTGCACGTGAACCGAGGAATTTCCTGGTTGGGGCATTATTGATCCTAGAAACGGGAAATAAGGACCAACAGGAGTATTCTTCTCTACTGCGAGATATATGGATTCAGTTTTTACGGAAATATATCAAGCCGGGGCAAATATACAATCTTTTTATTCAGATGATTTTTGCGGAATGTATTAGTGGGACGAACTCATTCGAAAGTTGTTGTCGAAGTAACAGAAGGGGAATTAAGAGGTCCGTACATGTTTATATAAACGTTTTCATATAAATTAGTATCAGTAATGTTTTCAAGCGATAGAACATAAACTTCCTAGAAACTTCTTGTCGCAATCGTAACTAGAGGAGATTAAGGGGTCCTTACACGTTTAAATAAACGTTTTTATGTAATGTTGTATTAGTGATTTAACGTTTTCCCGTAAACTATCGTTTACAAACCAGGAAACAGATATTCTTTACAACCAATCTTGTCATTTGGCATTATTAGTTTGCAGAAACGTTTATTGGAACATGTGAAATTTTTGAACAAAGCTAAAGGTGGCATTAGGTCGTCCACAGACGTTTATATGAACGTTTTTATATCATTTTCTATTGGCGATTTAACGTATCAGGATTTGTTTTTGAGTACTTTTCTAGAGATGACGCAATTTTAATTTGGGTAAATATAATAATAGAACAACCTTTTTTTAAATTTCTAGTAAAAGATATACGTTTATAGAAACGTTTTTATAATATTGTATCAGTAATTTACTTTCTCGTGATCTATCGTTTAAAATTTGTGGATTATCGCAGATTAGATATTCTTTTGAGCCAGTTCTGTCATTTGGCGATATTATTAATGTTTGCAAACTTGGAAGGTACTTTAAGGTATTTTAAAGATCCAGTGGCGTAGATTTTTTTGTCAGTGACATGAGCCAATTGAAAAAACGTTTTAGATTTTGTGTGGCTGCTCAATGATTGTTTCCGTTCGAGAAGCTACCGTTGAAGTAGATGTGTGGGTGGTTAAATACGCCGCCACCATTGATCCGAAACGACGGCTACAGACGAAATAACCAGATAAATTTCGCTAAACGGATACACATTTTAGAAACATGAGTATTTAACAAAATTCACGGTTATTGTTTCATCCCCGGTCTGGAAATCCTGACTCGAAAGACCTTTGAGCTCTCTTTGAAGTTTGCGTTCTGATATTTTATCCCTACCTTAAATATACTTAAAAGGGGAACTGGAAAATAATTTGTATGCTTCAAGGAATTTGCGGCCAACTTAATTGACTGCTTTCAACGCATAGGTGTAACGTTGGCTGAAAATTTTGTAACGAAAATCGTTCTCTTTGACGGAATACACCGAGCTAAAAATATTATGCGTGAATTTAGGAAAGACCAAGTTTAATAACGATTTGACGTTGCCAACCTTCGTTTCTCGTTTACTGTTAGAGATAGAACTGTACACGCAAAAAAATTCTTGCTGCAAATGTACATTTGATTTTAAGGTATTGCACGTTTATATGTATACAGGGTGATTCAGTCATAATGTCATTAATTTTAACCACGTATTCGGAAGGCTTAATAAAGACAGAAAATCGGAAAAAAAATTTTTTACTCGACTTTTAAAAATGAAGGAAATCAACCCA